ATGACATGGAAAGGTAAAACTATGGAGCACTGACCAAATTATGATTGGAACATTCAAGGAACAATTTAATTTTTTTTTCACATTAATGATGTTGTAAGTAAAAATTAAAACCATTAGGAGGAACCATCAGAAAGAGGAAACTAAACTCAACAGAAGAAAAAAAATAGCAATTCAACTTCCATAGTTCTTTCTTTGGATATGGATAGCATTTTCCATCACAAGGCCTCTGGAGATGTCTTAGATTCTTATAGTGCTGGGAAGGGTTAAGTTTATCAATATTAGTCATCACACAATGTGGCTGTTATTGTGTACAACGTTCTCTTGGTCCTGCTCACTTCACTCAGTATCAGACCATACAAGTTTTTCCAGGTTTTTCTGAAGTCAGCCTGTTCATCATTTCTTATAGTACAATAGTATTCCATCACATGCATATACCACAACTTGCTCAGCCACTTCCCAATTGATGGGCATCCTCTCAATTTCCAATTCTTTGCTACCACAAAAAAGAGCTGCTATGAATATTTTTATACATGTAGGTCCTTTTCCCATTTGTATGATCTCTTTGGGATATAGCCCTAGAAGTGCTATTGTTAGGTCAAAGGATATGCACATTTTTATAGTCCTTTGGGCATAGTTCCAAATTGCTCTCCAAAATGGTTGGATCATTTCACAACTCCACCAACAATGCATTAGTGTTCCAATTTTCCCACAACTTCTCCAACATTCATCATTTTCCTGTTTCGTCATGTTGACCAATCTGATAGGTGTGATGTGGTACCAACAATTTAATTTTTGACAGGGAAATTGATGACTATAAGTGGACTGAGGGCTTTTACATCATTAGGGTTTAGAGACAACAAAGTGTCCCATGGAAGAAAAACTCCTCAAACTCTTCCAAGTAATCTTCCCATAATCCCTTTGAAATAATTCCAACTCTCTAGAAGCAGAACAAAATAAGACAGACCTAGAGATCTGACTATACTCTATGATGGAACGCTAAAGATTTTCTTTTTTTGTCAAGTTTTATACATACACAGACACATAAATACTTACAAAGGTATGTACATAAATGTGTGTATACATACAAATTATGCATAACATAAAGAGAAAGACAGACACATAGTCTAAACTTCTGAGTGAAGTTTATAAAGAATATTTTTAAATATATATATTTCTGGGGTGAGGGGGTAGGGAAGGAAAAAGAAGAAAAAAAGAAATTTACATGATAACTTTATTATATATTAAAAATAGCTTTTATCTTTTTAGACTAATTTCATTCTGACATTAGCTCTCTTTTTATTTCTAATGAGCTTGACAAAGTTAAGCGATTATAAATCATCATCTACATTGCTTTTATTTATGTCCGTTGGCTTTTTGGCATGATTTGAAGTATTCCATACTCGTTCTCCATAACCAACTGATTCGGTATCATTGTCACTATCAATTCATTATCATCTTTTAAAATATTATAGAATTAATAAGCATTTAAAACAATAAAACTAAAAAAATTAAAATATTTCATAGCATCCTTTCCTGTTTTTTCTTTTTTGAATGATGTTTTGTTTTTTTCCCAAATACATGTAAAGATAACTTTTAACTTTCATTTTTAAAAAAAAATATACTTCTAAATTTTCCCCCTCCCCCTCCCTTTCTCCCCATCCCTGAGATAGCAAATAATTTGATATAGATTATACATGTGTAATCATGTAAACATATTTCCATATTAGTCATGTTGTAAAAGAAAACAGACAAAAAACATGAACAAAGTGAAAAATATTATACTTTGTTCTACGTTCAGATTCCATCAGTTTTTTTCTCTGGAAGTGGATACATTTTTTATCATGAGTTTGAGCTCTCATAAGGCTAGGTCACCTATTTTTTCATTAATTCCCTTCATATTCTTGACCTTTTGTTCTTCAAGATGAATTTTATTATTTTTTCAAGCTCTGTAATTTAGTTTTTGGTAATTTGGTTGGTATGGCACTGAATAAATAAATTTATTTAGGTAGAATTGTCATTGTTGTATGTTCACTCAGGCTATCCGTGAACAATTTATATTTTTCCAATTGTTTAGATTTAACTTTATGTGAAAGTTATTGTGTAGTTGTATTCATATAGTTCCATGGTTAGTCTTGGTAAGTGGACTCCCAAGTATTTTATATTGTCTACAGTTATTTGATTTATGTGTGTTTACTTTATGTCCTACAATGTTGGTAAAGTTGTTAATTGTTTCTACTAGTTTTTTTTTTTTAATTGATTTTCTTGGATTCTATAAGTAGACCATCATATCATCTGCAAAGAGTGATAGTTTTATTTCCCCATTGTCTATTCTAATTCCTTTCATTTCTTTTTCTTGTAATATTGTTAGAGCTAGCATTTCTAGTGCAATATTGAATAATAGTTGTTTAGTGGGCATCCATGCTTCACCCTTGCTCTTATTGGGAAGGCTTCTAGCTTATCCCATTATAGATGATGCTTGCTGATGGTTTTAGGTAGATACTACTTATTTTAAGAAAAGTTCCATTTATTGCTATGTTCTCTAGTGTTTTTAATTGGAAGAGGTGTTGTATTTTGTAAAAAAATAATTCTGCATCTATTGAGATAGTCATATAATTTTTGTTGATTTTTCTATTGAAATGGTCAATTGTGCTAAATATTTTCCTAATATTGAACCAGCTCTGCACTCTTGGTATAAATCCTACATGGTCATAGTGTTTAATCTTTGTGATGTATTACCGCAATCTGCTTGCTAGTACTTTATTTAATTTTTTTTGCATCAATATTTAAGAGGGACATTGGTCACTAGTTTTGTTTTTATTTCTTTTTTCACTCTTCTTGTTTTAGGTATCAGCATCATATTTGTGTCATAAAAGGAATTTGGTAGGACTCCTTTACTTTTCCAAATATTTTATAGAGTATTGGAATTAATTGTTATTTAAATGTTTGAGAGAATTCACTTTAAATCCATCTGGTCCTGGGAATTTTTTCTTAAGGTGTTCATTTATGGCTTGTTCAATTTCTTTTTCTAAGATGGGATTATTTAACTATTCTATTTCTTCTTCTATTAATCTTAGCAATTTGTATTTTTGTAAATATTCATCCATTTTGCATATATTGTCAGATTTATTGGCATATAATTGGGTAAAATAGCTCCTAATAATTGCTTTAATTTCCTCTTTGGTGGTGAATTCACTCTTCATTTTTGGCACTTGTAATTTGGTTTTCTTTCTTTTTTTAATTAAATTAACTAATGGTTTATCTATTTTATTGTTTTTTTTCATAAAACAGTTCCTACTTTTATTTATTAGTTCAATGATATTCTTGCATTAAATTTTATCAATCTTTCCTTTGATTTTCAGGATTTCTAATTTGGTCCTTAAATGGGGATTTTTAATGTTATTTCTAGAAGTGCCATCTGCTGCTGAGAAAAATGTATATTCCTTCCTTTTCCCATTCTGTTTTCTTCAGAGGTCTATCATATCCAAGGTTTCTAAAATTCTGTTCACTTCCTTAACTGATTTCTTGGTTTTGCTTTGTTTTGCTTTGTTTTGTTTTTGTTGTTGTTAGATTTTACTAGACCTGAGTTGGGAAAGTCGAGGTCCCCCACCAGTATTTTTTTTTTAATGTCTGTTTCCTCCTGTAACTCACTTAACTTCTTTAAAATGTTGGATGCTACACCATTTGGTACATATATGGTTAGTATTGATGTTACTTCATTGTCTATGATTTATTTTAGCAAGATGTAGTTTCCTTCCTTATTTCTTTTAATGAGATCTATTTTTGCTTTTCCTTTGTCTATTATGATTGCTACCCCTGCTTTTTGAATTTCAGCTGAAGCATATTAAATTCTGCTTTCACTCCTTACCTTTACTCTCTGATTCAGATATATTTCTTGTAAACATGTTTTAGTATTCTGGTTTATAATCCACTCTGCTATCCACTTCCATTTTGTGGGTTAGTTTATCACATTCACATTCACAGTTTTGTTTACTTACTGTGCATTTCCCTCTATCCTATTTACCCTGTTCTTCTTTCTCTCTCTCTCTCTGTCTCTCTCTTTCCCTCTCTCTCTCTGTCTCTGTCTCTGTCTCTCTCTCTCTCTCCCTCTCTCTTTCTCTCTCTCTCTCTCTCTCTCTCTCTCTCTCTCCCTCCCTCTCTCTCCTCCTTCATCCTGTGATTCCTCACAAGTATTTTACTTCTCACTGCTGCCTCCCCCAATCTGCCCTCCCTTCTATCAGCCCACCTTTTCTTATCTACCATCTTTCCCTCCACAGCAAAAGCTCTTCCTTTCAGGCCTCTTTCCTTTGAGATAATTTATCTCATTCTACCTCTTCCTTTCTCATTCTTCAGTATATCCCTCCTTTTTATCCCTTAATTTTATTATTTTTGAAATCATCTCATCAGAGTCAAGTTATACTCATGCCTTCTGTCTATACGTATTCCTTTAACTGCCCTAATAATGACACAACCTTACTGAATCCCTGATGTTTTCTCTTTCCTGTTTACAGTGAGAACATAGTTCCATTGGTATATTGAAGAAGTATTATAGATAGATAGAAATCATCTGTGCATATTCCCTTAAAAGCTTCCCCTGAGCTATCTCACCACTGAATTTGTCAACATTCACCCTGAGGCTACTTCCTACTTCCTATTCAAAATAGGCCTTTGAAATTGTGGGGATGTGAAACCCATCGCCTTCATAGTGTACCTGCTTCTCCCTGCCTCCCTCTTCCTGTCAGCCTAATTCCTTAAAATATTTCTTAAATCCAACAGATATTTTCTAATAAGGATCAGTTCTTAATTCTGGCATAAGGATTAAACCCATGAAAAGTCTCCATAGCCCAATTAAGTACTTGAGAATGACTAAATTACTGAATGGAATTAAGCTTCTTAAATAGTGACCCAGTTATAGCATCAGTCATAATGGGGTGTGTGTGTGGGGGGGGTGTTTGGGGGGAGGGGTGTTCCAGATTTTTCCATAGAAAAAGTAAATGAGTAAATAATAATAAAAGTACCAGGCCTTTATTGTAGGTGAATTTTATCTCACACAAGGAAATAAAAATATTAAACTTTAAATGTTCAGGGAACATGAGGTAAGGGGGCAAAGGAAAAGGGAACAAAGATCCAGCCAGTCACCCAGAGAGACAAAAATATAAGCACAGCTCTGAAAGGATAGTATACACGGGGTCCAAGATTGGGTGTGATGATCTTCAGGCCTAGTGACCTAGATGAAGGTGGCTTCTTGCTCTGGTACCAATGTTATGACAGCAACACAATCCATTTCAGAAGTGAGATTCCCAGACTGTCACATGCAGGTGATTTGCACCTTCATATGGAAGGAAATCAAAGATTTTATAGGGATTGGTAAAGTCTTAAAAGTTTTGATTGGCTTTCCACCTCTGATGTCACAGAGAGTCAGAAGCTTATTAGCTAGGAACCTGGGAGTTTCCAACAAGAAAGATTGCAGACATAGGGGTTCCAAAGAAACAAGGAAAGGTTACTTGACAAGAAGAGTGGGTGTTAACCACAGAGACAAACTGTTATCACAAGGTCTAGAATTAGAAACTGGAATGATCTTTTTAAAATAGTACTATTCCAGCTCAAAGTAGATTAACTCTCTATTTACAAGAAATATGCAATTCCAGTAAGAACACTCACATTTAGAACAGTCCCGTCTTCACATCTCTGATCGGGGCAGAAGGCAGAGCTTGTAAATTGGTGGGACAGAACCAAAACCAATAGTTATTGGGCTGGTATCAATCTTTTCTGGACTGACAAGAGATTTCAGATTAAAATGCTGTAAAATGATGATCATGAATAAAAATAATTCCATTCGAGCTAGACCTTCTCCAACACAGACACGCTTTCCTGGAAAAAAGCAAGAGTGATATTAATCAATGACATTGTTCAACTAGTCCAACATCGTTAATACAGTACATAAATGGCAATTTACTTCCATTTAACAAGAATGTATCATTAAGGTAACGGGGCAAGTGAGGTGCATTTTCAAGGGAGCTAGGAATTTGAAGACATGTTAAAAGTGGGAGACAACAGTAAGGAAAAAAAATACCAAAGAAAAATGCAACCACCTGGGGTCATATAAATATCTCTGAATACCCTGAAATTTACTGATAGAAAGTATACAGCAAAATACTGGATGTTTATAATGATGACCCTTAGTTATCGAGAGAATATTAAACCATTTGGATTTTCATCTAATCCAGGAGCCAGGGAAGCATGGTATATATTTTAGGAAAGTTTTCATAAAATTGAGTGAAACTAGACTTTTTTTAAGTTGAGGTACTTCAGTTAGCTTTAGGTATTTGTAGAATTAATTCATTTTAATGATTCACATCAGAGATGTTGGTCACATGTAGTATGGTTGACGCTTTTATTTTATCTCACTTCAGAGGAAAAAATACATGGGAATCATAGTATAACACTAAAGAAGAGTTAAATACTGCATATGTCTGATAGTTTTAATATAGAGCTATTCTAAATTTCAGGTCATTCATTCATTCAATTTATTATTTCCATAGATATTTATTTACATGAATAGTGTCCTGAAATTTGAGGGCTGAATTTAGATTCTGAAGTACTGGGCTAAAGTCCTATATCAGCGTAATTTGATGATGACAAGACAGAAAAAAAAAAGGGGGCATGTCTTAGTTTGTGGTAAAGAAAATGTCCAGAATGATGGAGGTGATAGTCCTGCAGTCTGCAACTATGGTCAGATCATATTTTGAGAATTCTGTTCTGTCCTAGATATCATATTTCCAGAAAGATATTGATAAACTGGGAGGAGTTGAGAGGAGGCTGACCATGAAGGTGTGGGGACAAAGGAACATGCCATTCAATGATCAGTTGAAGGAACTGAGGAGGAGAATTAGAGAAGATTTGAAAACACAAACTCTCAAATATGGAAAGCCAGCTCCCATTTCAAAAATTAGATTGAATCCATTTATCCATACAAAGTAGAAGTAGGAATAGTACACACTTGTAGCAGCTAGGTGGTGCAATGGATAGAGTGATGGGTCTGGAGTCAGGAAGACCTGAGTTCAAATGTGACCTCAGACACTAGCTGCATGACCCTGGGCAAGTCACTTAACTCTGTTTGTCTTAGTTTCTTCCTCTGTACAATGAACTCACACAGGAAATGGCAAACCACTACAGTATCTTTGCCCAGAAAACCCCAAATGGGGTCATAAAGAGTCAGACATGACTGAAACAGCTAAACAACAACAAATAGCATGCACAGAGCAGATAAACAGATTTCAATTCAATTTGTGGCAAGCCTTTGTAACACACAGAGTAGAAAGGTAGAACAAGATGCCTGGGTATATAGGCAGTGGGCTTCCCATAACTGCAGACCTTTAAGTAATGAGTCAGTAGGGGACAGTGGAGAGAGCACTATATTTGAAGTCAGAGGAGCTAGCTTCAAAACCTACCTCTGTTACTACATTTGTCTCATCTCCATTATCTTACATGTAAAATAAGGGAGTTGGACCTGAATGCCTTTTAGCTCTAAAGCTCTGAGCCCCTGATTTTATGAACTCTGCCTGGGTAGAACTGGGATGAGAGGAACTTTTGGGGTCTCTTTTATCTTTGAGATGCTGGGAAACTTGCTGAGGTCTGGGATGATGACATGTGCCAATGCAAACAAACTCACAGTTTCAAAAAAGCAACTCTCGGAGCTCAGTTAATTATTGGGGAAGGATAAATATGAACTTTACTTACCTGCAGAAAAAGCTTTGAAATAGTCACTGTACTTAAATTTTCCATTTTCATTCAGAAAGTGTCCTGGGTCAAATTGTTCTGGATTAGGGAATTCTTTGCTGTCCAACATGACAGAGGTCAGCGTCGGATATACTGTTGTGCCCTAAAGTAAATAAATACTACACAAATAAGCCAAGTTGTTAAATGAGCTGCTTGAATTTGAATACCCCTAGTGACACAGGGTTATCTAAATCTCAGGAAATGCATTCATTCAACTCATTATTTCCAAAGGTATTTATTTATAGAAGGCAGTGTTCTAGAGTGTATTGAGGGTTGGAGATGGATTCTGAAGGCCTGGGCTAGAGTCCTAAATATTTCACAAGACATATTATTACGGGCAAATTCCTTGACCATGCTTTAAGTTTTCTCACCTCTAAAATGGAAATAATTGTACCAATGACTGTGGTTATGCCAGGAACTCAAGCAATATCTACCTCAAAGTATTACTCTAGTAAGAATGTTTTCTAACTTGGAAAAGACTATAAAATGTGATACTGTTCTTTGTTGAAAACCTCCAATAGCTTGGTTGAAATTTTAAGCACCTATGTTATATGCTGGGCAATTAGGGGATAAAAAGGTGAACAATGTATAGTCATAACTCTAGAGAGAATTTACAATATAGTAGTGGTAATCATATATGTGCTAAAATAACTGTGGTCAATACAGTAGTTCCCAAAGCGAGGAACAAACTGCTTTGGGGAAGAAAGAGGATGGGAGAGATGATTTTTTTTTAACTGTCAGAAGAGTGATTATGAAACTGATTAAGCGGATAAATAACATAGAAAGGGTGGGGACCAGGTATAGGTAAGCATGCTGGGTACCAAACAAAAAGTTCCTTACATGGGGAAATATCCTTGGGGTTGGATCTTAAAACCAATATTGTTTTCAAGTTATGATAGCACATAACAATCTAGAATATAGATCTCAGGAGACCGTGCCTAATTTACAGGTGGAAAATTGAGTGGAAGCCCAGTGAAGGAAGTAGCTTGGTCAAGGTCACATAGGTAGTATGCAGCAAAGTCAAGATTAAATTCTAGTCTCCAAATTCTCAATCCATTGGTAAGAAACATGCACTAATAGGAGCTTGATCAGCCCTCTGAAACTGGAGTATTACTTTTCTGATTTCTGTTTCTCTGCCTGGAAAGTTGGCCAATGAGACAGACAAACCCCATTTAGCACTTGGGTGCAAATGGAGGAAATGTGGATTCTTCTGACCTTGGGGAGAAAGTATCCTCTGAATTGCATGTCTTGATTCATTACATGGGGCAGGTTGGAAGGGACAAGATTAATGAATCTCAGGATCTCGTGCACCACGGCATCCGTGTAAGGCATGTTTACTTTGTCCTTCATCGAAGGCATTCGTTCTGATCCAATCACTCGATCAATTTCTTCATGAAGTTTTTCTGTCAAGATACATACAGAGATTTAAACTCCTGGAGGGGCATGGCCTGAGTTGCTGCCTAATGACAACTATTCCTACAGTCTAAGAGATAGGAAGGAGAATGACATAGAAGGGTATTTGGGACTTTGGTGTTATTGTTGTTCTGTTTCTGTCATGTCTCTCTTCATGACTCCTTGTAGGGTTTTCTTGGAAAAGATACTAGAGTAGTTTGTCATTTCCTTCTCCAGTTTACAGATGAGGAAACTGAGGCAAACCGGGTTGAGTGACTTGCCCAGAATTACACAGTAGTAAGTGTCTGAAGCCAGATTGGAACCCACGAAGATGAGTCTTCCTGACTTCAGGCCCAGTACTCTATCCACTGCATCAAGTAGTTTCTCTATTTGGGACTTCAGTGGTACTTTTTAGTAAACTCTTAGGGAGTAAGGACTGATAGTTCCTGTGATCAATGTATGTTTCAGTAACAGAAAAAAAAATGTGGAGATCTAGTGGTCCTAGTGCCACAAGGGAACAAGAGTACCCAGGGGTGTTGTCTCACCTCATAGTGACTCCATGAGCTGAATTGTCATGAGGGAAAGGTATTAGACAGTCCCAGGTCACACATGTCTACACAGTTCAGAGTACGGAATGGGGAGGGGTTGCAGTTCCTATTTTATCAGAGGTTACAGCTGAGTGTGGTGGCACCAAGACCTTAGTTTATGCCCAAGGTACTTAAAGAAATTAACAAACCAGATATACAGGCTGCTAGCAGAGTCACTGAGGGTCCCAGGACTTTTTGAAGCTAAAACTGTGATTCACCTATTGATATATCTAAACAATCTGTACAGGTCATTTGCTTAACTCTTCTCTGTCTTTCTGGCTCTGTCTGTGTGTGTGTGTGTGTGTGTGTGTGTGTGTGTGTGTGTGTGTGTGT